TAGTTGGAAGGTGTGAAACGCAAAGAATCATGAGAGCCTTGTAAGGTGGTGTGCCAATAAGAGTGATTCGGGAAATGAATGAAGGAATAAATGAGAGGCATGCACTTGAGGCACATAGGAGGAGGAGTATTGGTTGGAGTAGATGATTAGGAGAAATGAGTAGGAAGAGAAGGCACATGGAAAATGAGGAAGGTTCATGTGCCTTGAGGTGGGAGTTGGAGACGAATATGAGAAGTGGTTAAGATCTTGGTCGAGGTGGAATGGGAATGACTATGATGATTGGGAATATTTAGGGAGTACAGTAGTTGGAGGAGTGGAGGTTGGAAATGATGATTTGGAGAAGGTGGTTTGAATTGTTGGTACCATGAATCGGTTGGGTTGGATAATGTTGGGTTGAGGTAGTTAGAAATTTGTTACGGGAGAGTTTGGAGAGGAAGGGGTTGGAGTGGCAAAAATTGTGGCACGCACATCACGTGCTACTCACAACGCTTCTCTCGGGTTGCCCTTGTCCCGTAACCTTTTGCAACCAATAAAAAATGAACAAAGTATAGAACGTTAAAAACTTTACCTTTGGAATGACGGCACATGCATCCTAATCGCCCCTCCAACATCATCTATACTTTCCCCCTCACCGTGCTTACCTTTTGCCCACTCTTTTCTCACCTCCCCCTTGGTTTCATAATGCCTTGACCCTACCAGCAAGTAGCATCCACTGTAGGGCTCGAGCGAGCAGTCCTACCAGACGGTAGTTGAGAGCGAGGGGAGACCACACATTAGTCACGGCTGCCACAGCACACTGCCCGTCTCTCTTCCTGCCTTCCGTTCACTTACCTCCCTCCACTGCGTGGCCTCAGTCCACCCCCTCATTAACCAGCGGTGTGGCGTCTCCATGTGAGCATTGTCGCCCGTACCCATATGTCTCTTCACATCTCTGTCCACCTGAGCTGCTCTCCCTCCGCCTCTGCCCTCTCTTGTCTCCTATCATTGCACTGAAATCCATCTCATCTCCTGTTTCTCCTCCCTCTCATCCTCATCTCCTCTCCTCTGCTCCTTTTCTATGCAGTCTCCTCTCCTTCCCTCTCCTTTATTGTATGTGTGTTTCCCCTCCTCCCATCTCTTGTCCTGTCTCTGGCCCTCCCCACATTCCTCCCCTTTTACTATTTTCCTCCCTTGTTGATTCCTCCTATCCCTCCCGTTTCTCTCATTAAACATTTGGCCCTTCCTTTCTTTGTAGCTTGTATGGCTCATCATTCAACCTCCTCTCTTCTGCCCTGTCTCCTTCTCCCCTTCTCCCCATCTCCCTATCTCCCCTTCTTGAAAGCGCTACCTACCTCACATTGACTTTTGGCTGTGTGAACCAGCAAATGAATAAACAAAACTACATTTTTCTTATTTCTACTTTCCGTTACCTCCCTGCTTCCCTCCAATACACTCCTCACTCTTTTGTTGCTTATTGGCTTGCTCTTCTGGGAACAAGTGACTAGTGCTATCCCTCCCCCCCACACTCGCCCCCTCATTTTCTTACAGCCCCCAGCATCCCCGTTTCCATCCGTTCCCCTTCCTGGATTTCGTCCTCTCACCAGTGAGCATGTTTTAACTGATTACGTGCATCGTTTCCAGTCGTGCAGATGTCGTCGTGCGTGCACAGAAGAACGGGTGGATGGACGAGGATGGGGTCCTCGCGTGGTTGCGGGAAGAGTTGAAGCCGTTCCTGAGGCCGGCTTTCGGACGGAGCGCGAAGTTGGCCATCTTGGTCTTCGACAGCTACAAGGGCCATCTCACCGACCGTTTGATGGACGAGCTGAGGGAGCAGGCAAATCATCCCCGCTATTATCCTGGGCGGCTGCACAAGCCTCCTTCAGCCGCTGGATGTGTACATCAACAAGTCTTTCAAGGTACACGTGCGAGGGGACTACCAGGACTGGTTTGATGACACCGGCGTCAACCTCACCACTCCGAAGGGTACGCAGCTAAGAAATCTTGCCTTCTCCCCTTCCTCTAGCCAATACTAACTACCTTTAGATCCCGTTGTTCTTTGGCAGAGGCAACTTGAGGAAGCCACCCACCGATGAGACCTTGAAGTGGTGCTCTCGCAGCTGGAGGGCCGTCTCTCCCAACCTCATCATAAAAGCTTTCAAGGTCTGCGGCATCTCCAGTGCTCTAGACAGTTCAGAGGACGCGAATGTGCTGAAGCACATGCGCGACAACGAGAAGACGGAGGTGGACATCATCGATGAGCCCGGCGGCGCTGGCTACGCCGGTGACAACTCCAGTGCTACAGTGTGCCGAGGAAACGGCGGTGGATGTACGGGCGCGGAGGGAGTGGATGGCGCTGGTGACTGCGATAGGGGGGATGGGGAGGGGGAGAACGGCAGTGACGACGAAGTCTAGGATGACAAGGTTGTGCATAATGTAGCGGCCTAGACAATAGGTACTTCTTGCATGCGTAGGTCTGACAGAGAAAGTCAGTAGATGGTAGGTAGGGGTCAGGCCCCCAAATTGCAGACTTTTTACTTTGATTCAGACTTTTTTTGGGGGTGTACTCTGATTGGGAAGACTTTTTTTTGTACTTGACTCTGATTTTTCAGAGAAGATTTATGTACCTACGCTGATTTTTCAGACTTTTCTACTAGTGTACTCTGATGCCTCAACCTTGTATGGGGGGATGACTATGATTTGTGTAATACCAGAGGAGCGAGATTTACCTGTGAGGGACGCTGATTGGCCCTTAGCCAAAATCAGAGCGCGATGCTTGCGAGGGGCTTTGTGAGGGCGGTTACTGGCCCTTCACCAAAATTGAAGGCCAGTGCGTAATGGGGGCTGTGTGAGGGAGCCGAATGGCCCTTACACAAAAATCACTTCCCACTTTGTGCAGGGTGCGAGTGTGAGGGGCCGATTGGCCCTTGAAAAAAAATACTGATGTTTGCTGGGGGTTGTGTGTGTGAGGGCGCCCATTGGCCCTTCACGAAATAGCCACGTGGATGGCGCGATTTCCCTCCCTCCCTGCAATTTTACTTTGCCTGCCCCCCAATTCCTTTCCGCCCGCCCCATTAGCGCTGGCGCGGGGCCGGGTCGAGGGTGACGCGAAATTCTGGTTGCTGTCGCCAGCACACAGTTAGCAAGAGAACGCAAGAAGATAAAGCCCCTGGATTAGGTAAGGGAAGGAGAAAATAGACATACAGAACACCAGTTTTAAAATCAGCGTAAAAATTAATGGTAACTCTGAATAATCAGACAAAAAATCTCTTGTTACTCTGATTTTTCAGACTTTTTTTAAGGGGAGACTCTGATGGCCATACCAAGGGATGACAAGCAAGTCTGATGAATCAGACACCCCCAAAACCAATTTGGGGGCCTGGTAGGGGTACAAGAAGTAGTTGGTAGCTTGACTTTCTCATGTAATTTTAGGCCTACTAAACAGGGCGTAAGATTCATTTTTGGGTACGCTGATTCGTCAGCCTCACCCCCCAAAATTAGGCTGATGTATCAGCCTTGCCCCTGGAAAAAAGGCTGAATTTTCAGTGTTGGCAAAAAAAAATTCGCTGATCAATCAGCGTTACCTAGAAGAAAAAGTCTGATGCACAGATTCAGCAGCGCTTTGTAGATTAGCGCAGGCTTTCAGTAATGAGGTTATGTCCTGGCTGCGCATTTGACATTCCGATGATTGGCTGGCGCAGTGACAATTTTCCGGTCTAAGTAAGAAATACCTTCGATGTAAGCATCGATACTAGGAATTTGAAACCGACGGAAATGGGTGAAAGTGTGGCCTGCGTTGGGCTTTGGAATCCGGATGCAGCTGAAAGAAACCTTGAATATGCACGAATGTTTTATGATTACCTTTCAATCGCGGGGTTTTTTAAGGTAATTTCGCGTCAGCGTGGTGCCCGACCCACATCTAGTCAGGGCGCATTCCTCACCGATGTGGCTTGCCGTTTTGTGGCGAGTTTTTTACGGTCGATATTCCAGCCTGAGAGATGGGAGACGATCGTGAGCGTCTGTAAGTTTGTGGCAAGTGTCCTGCCACTGGCGAAGAATACGCCCTCAAATACCACCATCACAACAGGGAGGGGACACGTGTCTGCATGAGGAGTTTTCCATATACAGTACTGTACATAGCTTACCTTAGGGTTTTCGTCCACACGGCAGATCCGGGTATATCTCTCGCGGGACCCAGACAGAATGGGTTTATCTGGAACGTTACCCGTCAATGTCCGGGTTCAGTCCCGGGATTTTCTCCGTGATGACAAACGCTCTCACGAAAAGTTCCTGGATTCTACAAGGGGAACCACGTAAGAGTACTACGCTCAGCCCTTATACTTCTACTTCTTGAACTTCCTTGCTAGGGCTGATGTGCCCTGAGGGGAGGGAATGGGGGGGGGGGAGATCTGTGGGGTGGTGTGAGAAGTTCTAGTATCCGTGTTTCTCAAAACCGAACATGTCACTTCACGTGTTCTGGTCAAAATGTACCTGTCAAATCAGGGTTCATGAAAATCGAACACGTCGCAATCCGGTTTTGGTTCAAAACTCACCCGTTATTTGGTCAAAATCCAGGTAGTTACCCGTCAAAAATAAGCCCTGGTAACTGTACTCTATGTACCCTTGGTTGTGGGGAAGTGGGAGAAGGGAGGTACGTGTGTGGCTGTGGGGTGGAGCGGAGACTCTGCAAATCTTCCTTGGTTGCGGGGGTATGAGAGGGGTGTGAGTGATTTGTGACTGGTTGCAGGGGACTTCGCCAAAAATATGTCTTGCGGGTGTTAGGTGTGGGGTGCGGTGTGACTGGTTGCGGGGGGACTTGGCAAAAAACTTCTGGCATGCAGTTGTTCTGAGTTCGGTGTGACTGCCTGCAGAGGACTTAGCCGATTTCTTTGGGGTTGCGGGTGGGTGTGTCTGACTGGGCGGGGGAGCTGGGCAAATGACGCTGTACTCGGTTTCAGCGCCCCCCCACATACATGCACTGATGCTTCAGAGTACACCCTAAAAGAAAGGCTGAAAATTCAGACAACACACAAATAAAAAGGCTGATTTTTCAGGGCCCACTAAACAAAAAAGGCTGAGTGTTCAGCCTTGGTACCAACAAAATGTCTGAAAAAAGGCTGAATCAGCGTAAAAAGGCTGATATCTAGGGCCCTGCTGTTAACGTAGAAACGAATGATTACTAGAGGTGGAAACCTAGAACAAATACTAGTTGGTTGTACTCACTAGAAGCATACCTCAGTCTAGCCTATAACTTCTACATAGATAATATGTATAAGTTGACACACCCCCTAGGCTAGACAAGGGGTGAAACTAAACAAGAAGCAAACAGCTCAGGGCGGCACTACTAGTCCAACCACTGAGGCAGGGGTCTGGAGACCAGTCAGCAAGAATACAACCAAAACTGAAGCAAGCCAGGGTGGCACTACTAGTCCAGCCACTGGAGGTAAGGCCACAAGGCCAGTCTGACAAGCATATATAATAGAGAGTACACAATCAGGATCCTAACAGGGGAGCAGCTATAGGAACAAGACCAAGCTGTACACAGTGCCGCTGATGATCTTTAGGCGCAAGCGCCTTAGTAAAGATATCAGCTGTGTTGGCACCTGAGGCCAAGTGAACTACGCGGGCCTGGCGGCGCTGCTGTAGCTCGCGCAGGAGGAAGTACCGCAGCTGGATATGCTTCGCTCTGCCCTCAAGCCGAGGCTCCTGACACAGGAGTATCATGGCCCTGTTGTCAGCGTACAGGACCGGGGCAGAGCTAGGCCGCTCACCTAAGTCTGTGAGCAAGAAGGTCAGCCAGCGGAGCTCCTGTGCCGCCATGGCACCAGCGTAGATCTCAGCCTCACAGCTAGACTGAGCCACAGACGACGAGCGAGTGGATCTCCAAGAGATAGCACCCGAACCAAGGCTGAAACAGTAGCCCTGCGACGACCTGAGCGTCTCAGCGTCGTCTGCCCAAGAAGCGTCTGTGTGCCCAGTAAGGACCACTGGCCTGCGTCCTCCTAGCACTAACCCCATGCCTGATGTACTAGCAAGATAACGCAAAACCCTCTTAGCGGCAGACCAGTGCTGAGGTCGGTGTCTGCCTGTAGCCACAAAGCGAGCCAGGATGCTGAGAGGGTATGCGAGATCTGGGCGAGTGCAAGTCATCAGGTACATGAGGCAACCCACGAGCTCTGCGTAGGGGCCACTGGGCTCTACTGGCTCCTCAGGAACGGGAGCAGAGAGCCCATGGTCTACGGGTAGAGGTGTGGGCTGTGCAGAGGAGAACTGAAGACCGAACCTCTGAAGGACCTGACGCACCAAGTGTGACTGGGTCAGAGTGATGGTGCGTGCTGCTCTGTCCCTAGAGATCTGCAGGCCAAGATAGCGACGCAGCTCTCCAAGGTCAGTGCAGGTGTGTCTCTTCAGCAGCTCAGCCTTCACAGAGGCCAGTGCGTCCCTGTCAGGAGTAGCGAAGACCAGGTCGTCTACGTAGACAAGGATGTAGAACGGAGTCTGGCCGGAACGCACAAACAGTGAAGGGTCAGCAGAGGACAGAAAGAACTGCAGGTCTGCTAACGTGGCACGTAGCGTGTCGTGCCACTCGCGGGGAGCCTGACGCAGGCCGTAGACCGGGCGCCTGAGAAGCCACTGGGTCCCAGGAGGGAAGGTACCAGTGAAGCCCTGTGGTCGGCGCAGGTAGACCTGCTCGTGTAGGCTGCCCTGAAGAAAGGCAGTAGAGAAGTCGAGAGAGTGAAGCTCGTAGTCACGCTGTGCTGCTACGTGTAGCAGCGCCCGAAGAGTGGTCATCTTCGGGGTCGGGGCGAAGGTCTGGAAGAAGTCAACCCCCTCGCGCTGACTGAAACCTCTGGCCACGTAGCGCGCCTTGAAGACAGGCGGCTCTCCAGGGGGGCGCTTCACCTTGAAGAGCCACCGACCATCGACTACGTTCACCCCAGGCGGGGGAACTGCGTCGACGTAAGTGCCGGTGGATCTCCAAGATGCCATCTCCTGCTCCATGGCAGCTATCCACTGAGAGGCCCAAGGTCCCGAGGTGGCCTCAGCGTAGGTGCGAGGGGTCGGGATGTCGAAGGCGTCTGGGTCACCCTCAGGGACTAACAGCATGGAGCAGAGATGGGGAGCAGCCTCGGAAAGGAAAGCCAGCTCGTACTGCCTGTCCTCTAGGACGTCACTGCCAAGGGCAGGAGCACCCCCGACGGACAGAGGACGGGCAGGGTCAGAGACCAGAGCGGTAGCGTAGTCAAGGCGGCGGGTAGAAGCGAAGTCAGCGACAGCAGCGACAAGCGCGTCAAGGCGCGAGACAGGAACAGCAGGGTCGGTAACAAGAGAGGCAAGGACCCGAGGGAAAAGGGGACGAGCAGCACGGAGGTAGTCAGAGAACGGAGGAGGTGCAACAGCAAGGGACGAGGGAGGAGGGGACGGGAGGAGGGGAGGACGAGACGAGTGGGAACGGAGCAACATAGGGTGGGTGGGCAGGACAGGAGAGACGGGACGAGCACGGGAGGGACGGCGAGCCCAAACGTGAGACGGAGGGGTAGGGTCAGGGGACAGCGGAGGAGACACAGGAGGGGAACGAGGAGGAAGACGGGCCGGAGACGAGTCTGGCGGTGGGAACACAGGACCGTAGACAGGGAGGTCAGGAGGCGGTGGGGGAGACACCGGCGCGCGGTCCGGGGAGGGAAGGCCGAGCAGGCGGAGAGCGGAGACCGGCGGCGACGGCTGCTGTGGCGGCGACGACGGCTGGGCCGGAACTCTCGGACCAGCAGAGGCAGAACGACCGTCGGCAGAACACTCAACAGCAGCACCCCCAGAACCAACACCCCAAGAGCGAGAACCCCCTCCAACACCAGCGGCACCCCCAGAAGCCGCAGGACGAACACCCTCCTCCACACCAGCACCCCCAGGGGCCGAGAGCAGCGGCGGCAGTGGCGGCGACAGCGGCGACGGCTGCGGCGGCGACGGCGACGGCGGCGGCAGCGGGGTCGGCGACTGCGACAGTGGGGGCGGAGGCACTGGGGAAGGGGGACGCGGCAAGGACGGACCGGGGGTACCACCAGAGTCAGCAGACTCCTCAACGGGGACAACCGACGGGAGGGGAGTGACGTGGGAGACACCAGACGGGGCAGGACGAGGCGGGAGAGGGGCAGGGGCTACCGGGGGAGAGGGAGCAAGGAAAAGGGGGGGGGCAACTGGGAGACCTCGGTGAGGGAAGCGGCGGTAGAAGGAGACGGACTCGTCAAAGGTGACGTCACGAGAGTGGAGGAAGCGGTGAGACGGCGGGTGGTAGAAAAGCCAGTCAGACGAGTCCAGTGGGAAACCGAGGAAGACACAGGGGACAGTGCGGGCAGTGAGCTTGTCCGTGCCAGAGGCACGAACGTGAGCAAGGCAGCCCCAGACGTGGAACGCAGACGCGTCACCGGGGGACCCGGTCCAAAGGAGGGTCGGCGAAACCTGCGGCCGCTGGGAGCGTGGCCACAGGTTAAGCTGGTGAGCCGCGTAGCGAAAAGCGAACGGCCACAGAAAATGGGGGCATCGGCATGGATCATGGAGGTACGGGCGACCTCCATGACCAAGCCGATGCGGCGCTCAGCAACCCCATTCTGCTGTGGCGAGTCCGGCAACGTGTACGACTGGGTGATGCCCTCCGCACGACAGAACTGTCCAAGCCGACCAGAGGCGAACTCGCCGCCACGGTCGGAGTGGAGACACAACACGGGGAGACCGCGGTGGAGACGCGCAGCTACAACCCACGGGAGAAGAACGTCGGGCACGTCGGCCTTCCGCTCCAGGGGAAACACCGTGGTGTAGCGCGTGTAGTCGTCAACGAGCACAAGGAAGTAGCGCTCACCGCGCGGTCCGGGGACGGGGGCAGGGCCCCAAACGTCCAAGTGCAGGGTCTGAAGGGGGGCAGTAGCAGGACGCAGCGAGGAGGAGTGAGGAGCACGGCGGAGCCGACCCTCGACGCAAGGCGTGCACGGTGGCGCAGTCGAGGGAGGAAGGGCAGGGAGCGACGCGGGGAGACCTAAGACAAGACCGTGCTGGGACATGTGACGCAGACGCGGGAGAGCAGGGTGACCTAAGCGGTGGTGCCAGAGAAGGGAGGGGTGAGTGAGTGACCGACACGAGCAAGCTGCAGCGACCTGGGAGGACGCACCAACCGGGGGGGAAGCGGTGTGTAGGGTAAACAGACCGGACACCGGGTCCCGGGGGAACGTCGCAAGGGGGGAACCTGAGACAGCCTCAGAACAGACAGCGAACCGCTCGTGCCCGGGGAACGTGGTGGTGACGCCGAGGTCCTGGAGACAGCCGACACCAACCAGGTTCCTGGAGAACGAGGGAACGTGGAGGCCAGTAAGGGAGCCCGAGGGAACTGCCGGACAGGGAAGGGACGTAGAACTGCGCGCGACAACCGGACCCGCAGAGGGGTCAGCGAGAGAGACAACAGCAGGTGCAGCAAGCGGCGTGAGCGTGGAACGGTCGCGGAAGAAGCAGGCAGAAGCACCAGAGTCGAGAGTGAAGGACAGCGACGCAGTGGCGGAGGCCGCGGACGGAGCCGGTGCAGCGACTAGACTAGGCAACCTAGGCAGTCCTACGCCTGTCGCAGCAGGGGAAGCTAAGCTACACAAGGGTGAAACACCTAAACTAGAGTACACATGGTAGTAAGATCCATCAACACTAGAAGCGTCAGCATACAAAGCATGCAAAGCAGCACCTATCTGATCCATGTCTAACTCAAAGATCGGCACGCCCTGGCGGAGCAGGCTGTGCCAGTCAGGGAGGTCCGGGGCCGGGCCAAAGCGACGACGAAAAAGATCGTCGAGGCGGCGGAAACAGTGGGCGGTCGGGTGCGGGCGGCGGCACAGAGTGCCGCGGAGAGGCCCGGTCTGAAGCTGGTACTGGCAGGTCACAGCACTGGAGCCGCTGGTAGACGCCAAGCTGCGCGGGCCGCCACCACGGCCACCGCCTCCGGAGGTGCCGGGCCAACCAGGCGGGAGACGAGCCCACGGCTGCGGCGGGTGCTGCTGGGACGGCGGCTGCGGCTGGGGCTGGTCCTGCTGCTGCTGGGACTGCTGCTCCTGCCCACCGGTGGTAGTCCCCTCAGGCGGACTACCGTCACCACCACCACGACCACTACCACCTGCGTCACCACCCCTACCTCCCTGGCGGCCACGGCCACCGCGACGCGAGCGCTGCTGCGGGTGGACAGCAGCAGCCGTCTCGGTAAGAGGGGTCGCCGTGGCGACCGCAGCCGAAACGTCAGTGAACGTGCACGGGGATGGGGCACAACCGTGAAAGATAGAGACTGCCGGCGCACCGCTCGACTGAGCGATAGTGCGCTGGCGAGTCTCGATCTCAGTGAGGGTGTCGACAAAGGCGGTCAGGGTGAGGTCACCCGGGTGCTGGCTAAGAAAGTGGTCGCGAGCACTAGCGAGGCGGTCTGGCAGGCGCATAGCGATAAAATAGAGCGTCATGCAGAAAGGAGGGGGGAGCGCAGTGAGCTGGGCAGCAGTGCTGGCAGTGCGATAGCGAGTCTCTAGGGCACGCAAATGAGTGGCAAAATCTGCGACAGTAGGGAAGGCAGCCAGGTCTGGGAACAGCATCGGAAAGAGCAAGCGGCCAGCAGAAGCGGAGGCAGGGGTGGAATAGCGAGCAATAACGGCGTCTAAATAAGCTTTGGCCGTTTCAACAGTAGCAAAACGCGAGCGCTCAGACACAGGGAGGGCGTGACTAATAGCAACCTGAGCTACTGCATCGCGTGAGTCCCAGACCGCACAGGCTAGCGCAGCAGTAGAGAAAGCCTCACGGTCATCAGAGGAGGGGTCAGCAGGGAGGGGAGTAGGTGCAGGGGGACGGGGGAGCAAGCCATCAGCATGGACAACCAGAGAGTGGCCATCCTGGCGCTGACCTGTAAGCTGGCGGCGAAGATCGGAGAGCCAGGCGGCGAAGTCAACCGCGTGGCCCTCAGCGTCCAGGCGGAGCACAAAGTCAGCCATCGTGCAGGGTCAGCGGCACAGCTCCTCAGCGACACAGCGGCACAGCAGCACAGCTCCTCAGCGGCACAGGAGCACAGCGGCGCGGGGACACGGCGGCAGCACTCTCCAGTAGGGCAGCAGCTAGGCGTCCCAGCGCAGGCAAGCAGAAGACACAGGGCCCGAGAGGACACGGCAGGCCGAGCAGGGGAGGCGGGCAGGTGCTCTAGGGCCGGGCTGGTGCTGGGAGGGGCCAGGCTGGTGCTGCTGGGGCCGGTCGGGCACGAGGAGGGGCCGGGCAGCGCTGAGGAGAGGCCGGGCGGCGCTAGGAAGGGGCCGGGCGGCACTAGGAGGAGGCCGGGCGGCACTAGGAGGAGGCCGGGCGGCACTAGGAGGAGGCCGAGCGGCACTAGGAGGAGGCCAGGCGGGCGAGCGCTAACAGCAGGCGCGACAGGGGCCAGCGGGCGCGACGGGGCCTAAGGGGCGCGACGGGGCCCAGCGGGCACGACGGGGCCCAGGGGGGGCGCGACGGGGCCGAGGAGGCGCGACGGGGACCAGCGGGCACGACGGGGCCCAGGGGGGCCGCGACGGGGCCTAACGGGCGCGACGGGGCCCAGGGGGGGCGCGACGGGGCCTAGCAGGCGCGACGGGGCCTAGGAAGCGCGAAGGGGCCCAGCGGGCGCGACGGGGCCTAGGAGGGGCGCGACGGGGCCGAACGGGCGCGACGGGACCCAGAGGGGGGGGACGCGACGGGGCTTAGGAGGCGCGACGATGCCTAGGAGGCACGACGGGGCTCAGCGGGCTCGACGGGGCCCATGGGGGGCGCGACGGGGCCTAGGAGGCGCAACGGGGCCCAGCGGGGGCGCGTTAGGGCCTAGGGGTCGCGACGGGACCCAGTGGGCGCGACGGGGCCCAGGGGGAGCGCGACGGGGCCTAGGAGGCGCGACGGGGCCCAGCGGGCACGACGGGGCCCAGGGGGGGCGCGACGGGGCCTAACGAGCGCGACGGGGCCCAGGGGGGGCGCGACGGGGCCTAGGGGGCGCGACGGGGCCTAGGAGGCGCGACGGGCGGAAGCGGTAGGCGGGGGGATCCTAACCTAAGCGTGATACCATGTTAACGTAGAAACGAATGATTACTAGAGGTGGAAACCTAGAACAAATACTAGTTGGTTGTACTCACTAGAAGCATACCTCAGTCTAGCCTATAACTTCTACATAGATAATATGTATAAGTTGACACCTGCTACTAAATGAAATCTACGCCTTTGAAGCCTCAGGGGCTTGTAGAAGTGGAGGATCCTGTAAGGGCAAACAGACCTTCAAACGGGGTGGGGCTTATAATCAAATAAGGCGCATAAGCCCTATGCACTGATTAAAGGACCCAGGGTCCTATACCCCGGGGGGGCACATATCCGGGTGGATACGGTAAAAGCCGTTTATGGGTGAACAAACGGCTCTGCATTTCTATTTGTTTTGAAGTTGACACCGCTAGCCGTTCTTCAGTACATACAAACCCTTAATGCATTAAGGGCATACATCCCAGGGTTATGGTGCATGTAGTGGGATAGCCTTATGCTTTTGCTTTCGTGCTTCCAGCCGTTGAGCCAAGTTATCTAGTGACTCCCGTAGTACCATCGCCATGGCTCCACTTGCCCCCTCCTCCTCCCACCAAACTGCCATCTCCTCTCTACCCTTCCTCTCCTCCTCCCCCTCCTCTTCCTCCCCCTGGCCCTTTTTCCTCCCTCTCCCCTCACCACTGGGCAACTCCCCTCGCGAGCACTCAGCGCCATCACACCTGAAGCCACGGAGGAGGTCCTGCAGGCCGCTCAGAGCACCACTGCCCGTGGCACCACTTGCCTCCTGCCGCACCTTCGCCTGAGCTTCCCCTGCACACACGCGCTGCTCTTCTCCCCCCTTCCTGCGCTTCTTGCCGCGCTCTGCAGCCTGCAGTTGTTTGTCTCGCAGCCTCGCAGCAGTATTGGCCATCTGGTCGATCCACTCGCAGCCGTCCACCAGTCGCTGCCTGTGCCTGCCGTCCACTGCCGACACAAACCTCGCAGTCACTGCCCTGCGGTCCTGCTCGCTGCCACACCAATGCTGCCACACCAGTTGCGATTCCTCCACAAGCTTCGCCTCCTCCTCCTCCCCTTCCCCCTGCTCCTGCTCCTGCTGCTGCTGCTGCTGCTGCTGCTGCTGCTGCTGCTGCTGCTGCTGCTGAGACTGGTCTGTATGATCAGCATGCATATCCGCACTGGATGCAGCACCCAGGGCAGCAACCGGGGCAGTAGGCGCAGTAGTATTCGTATCAACTGCATGCTCTGTTCCCACAACAACACCTGTGCCGGCAGGCGAGTCAGTCTTGGACTTCTTAGCAGCACGAGGAGCTGCCTTTCTCTTCCTCTTCCCTGCCTTCACCCCCTCCCCATCCTCCCTGCTGGACTTGCCCAACTGCTGACCAGCACCCTCGGCAGCAGCAGCAGCTGCATCACTATCACCGCCAGCACTAGCCTTCTCCCTAGGCGCCCTCTGTCCACCTTCCTCCACAGCATTGGAATCTCCTCCCTGTGTGTCCTCCCTCTCTGCATCCTTCCCCTTCTTCTTCCCCTTCCCCTTCTCTGACCGCTTCCTTCCATCCTTCTCTCCAGCCACCGCGGCTGGCCCCCCTTTGTCCGACATTCTCCTCCTCACCCTCGCTGCAATCGGCACCATGTCCTCCTCATCCCCTTCCTCCTCGCCTTCCTCCCTCCCATCCTCTTCGAATCCCCCATACCAGTCCGGCGCTAACAACTCCGCACACTCATCCCTGTCCCCCTCCTCCGCTGCCCCCCCCTCCACTGCCCCACCGTCCGCTGCCCCACCCTCCCTGCTTCCCTTGCCGCCTGCCCGCTCCCCAACCTTGCGTCTCGCTGCTGCTCTCTCTGCAGCCGTCACTTTGGCAGGGTGGCTCTTGGGTGGAGCGGGCCGGGGGAGAGGTATGGACATGGGTACACGGCCTGCACAGGGAAGCAGGGGGGACGGCAGCAAGGGGAAGGCTAAGTGGAGCGCGGACAAGAAGGGAAACTTAGGAGAGGGGGAAAAAAAAGGTGCAAAGGGGAAAAAAGATCCCTTCTTTCATGGCGAACATGGGCTGGAAGCACTGCAGAGTCCACATCTAGAAGGCAAACTAAGACAGGCAAGCCGCGCAGGCACCTGCGACCATCTCCTCGGTCCTGGGAGTGGCCTTGAGTCGTACCGCCTTGTTCTCTCCCGCACCCTCCACCACCTCCACCTGCTCACACACAGGAGAAAAAAGGGGACCGCGGGAAATTGGGGAGGGGAGAGAAGGAGAGGGATGTCCATTGGATCAGATGCACACACGATCATTGGCCAACACGATGATCCGCTGCGCTGCTCCCAACCTGATTGCCCTTCACGATGGTAAGGACAGCTGTGCTACAGAAGTGCTAAAAATCCCTATATTCGGAATACAGCTCCATGCATAAATCGCATGGTGATGGTGATGGTGATGATAAGGATGGGGAGAACTACCAAATGCACGTGGAAAGAACAGCTACCGCAATGAAAGAAAATGGACGACTTACAAAGTAGCCCTGGCACTCACAAAGTAGCCCTGGCACTCACAAAGTAGCCCTGGCAGGCACTCACCAAGTAGCCCTGGCACTCACAAAGTAGCCCTGGCACTCACAAAGTAGCCCTGGCACTCACAAAGTAGCCCTGGCACTCACAAAGTAGCCCTGGCACTCACAAAGTAGCCCTGGCACTCACTAAGTAGCCCTGGCACTCACAAAGTAGCCCTGGCACTCACAAAGTAGCCCTGGCACTCACAAAGTAGCCCTGGCACTCACAAAGTAGCCCTGGCACTCACTAAGTAGCCCTGGCACTCACAAAGTAGCCATGGCACTCACAAAGTAGCCCTGGCACTCACAAAGTAGCCCTGGCACAGGATGCGCAGAATGAGGTGCTGTACCACAGCGCGGGAGAGCGGCTTCACAGCCACAGGCGGAGGGGGTGCAGGGTCGGCAGCAGCAGGGGGAGGGGGAGTGGCGGTAGATGCAGGGGTATCGGGAGCAGGGGTGGCAGGCGCAGGGGTGGCAGGAGCAGGGGTGGCAGGAGTGGGGATGGCAGGAGCGGGAGTAGCAGGAGTGGGGATAGCAGGATCAGATGAGGGAGTAGCAGGAGCAGGAGCAGGGGTGGAGAGGTCAGAGTGAGGTTCCGTTGTTCCACTGTTGGCGACGGAAGCAGTCAGAGCAGGTGACATGGACCGGGGGCCGGCAGCTGCAGAAGAAGCACTTGCAACGGTCACAGCGGAAGCAGACGCATCATTGCTACCAGTACACCCATCAGCACCGGTAGCAGCAACACCCCTGGTATCAGCAGGAGCACCGGTAACAGCAGGAGCAGCAGCACCAGCGGTATCAAGAGCATCAGCAGTAACAGCAGCATAAGCAGTAACAGCAGCAGCAGCAGCGGAAACAGCAGGAGCAGCCGTAACACCAGCAGCAGCAGTGGTATCAGCAGCAGTTGTTGTGTCGCCTTTGCCTGCAGGCTGGGCGGCCATTTGACTCATCAGTCCGGCCGCCTCTGACCCACACATGCAGTCAGGCAGAGGGGGATTGCAGGGGAGGTGGGAAGAGAGAGGAGAGGGGCGGAAGTGGGAGGTGATTAGGGTACAGAAAATAGTGGTTTGCAGGAGATAAGGAATGTTTGAAGCAAACAGAGCAATAAGGTACACATAGGTGGGTGGGACTGGTAGCGCAGTGAGCGAGTGGAGAATGGAGGGAAGCTGTGCAATCAAAGTAATGATATGTAGAATTGGGTCCTACCCCCTTCTCCACCCCTCTCCTTCCCCTCCCGCCCCCCTCTTCTTCCCCCCCCTTCTCCCTCCCAAACCCGCACATCTCTCCCCCCCCCAATCTCTACCCCCCTCTCTCTCCTTCCCCCTCCCTCCCCATATCTCTCCCCTCCCCATCTCCTCTTCCCTCCCTCTCTCTCCCCCTATATCCCCCCCCCAACACACCCCGCTCCTCCCCCCACCGTCTCTTCCCCCCCCTCTCTTCCCTCCCCTCTCTCACCCGTGGCAGCGCCGGAGCGGAAGAACTCAGTGGCGAGCTGGGGGGCCGTGAGGGGCAATGGGGAGTCCGCCAGGATGCGCGCCAGCAGCATGGCGTACGCTGGCATGGCGCACGGGGGGAGGACAAGGGAGAGGGGAGGAGAAGGGCGGCGGGAGAGTGAGGCGTGTGATGAGAGTGGTTTGGACAGCAGAGGTGCAGGGGGAGGTTAGGTACAGGAGCAAGAACTGCGAGGGGAAGGCAGGGCACCCAGCGAGCCCAGCTTGCTTTCCGGCAAACACCTGTTCGAATCGTCTGCTGCAATCTCTCTCTCCATGCAGACCACCTGCTGTTCGCAAGTGTAAGGGGTGCTATGGGCGTGAGAGGGCACAGGAAAGGGGAGAATGGATAGAACAAGGGGAGGGAGGGGGGATGGGCGGGCGAGAGCTTACGAGTGACGTCCTTTTCCTCCAGGTGCCTCGACTTGCTGCAGTTGTCACAAAAGCCTGGCACACAGCCATGGGGTTCATGAGGTGAGGGGCGACATGGTGGAACATGTTCATGGGATGAGTGGAACATGTTCATGGGATGAGTGGAACATGTTCATGGGATGAGTGGAAGATGTTCATGGGATGAGTGGAACATGTTCATGGGATGAGTGGAACATGTTCACAAGTACGGCGGAACCGTTCAACAAGTAACCGGAGCCCGGTGGCATGATGTTAACAGGATGAAGAAAGAGGTAAATAGGGGAGGAACAGAGTCCGGTCTGTGGTTACAGGCAACCTGGACCAGTTATCCAGATAGACGGTGCTAGGATTCGGATCTGTGGCCACAGCTAGGCTTCCTTAAAGAGAAGAAATGTAAGGCAAAAGAAAGAAGTGCTGTGGCGTATTGACTACCAGCGCAGGTAAAAGGGCAGTGTGCACACCCAATAACACCAACCACCCCCCCAGCCCATGACCCACCCCCCTAGGCCCCCCCCTCCCCCCCCCCCCAAATCCCCTCCACCCAGGCAGCTCATGACCCACCTCCACAGGGCGGCTCCTCTGGCCTGTCGAGGTCAAAGTGGCGCAGCAGCAGCTTGTGCCGACACACACTGCGATTCTGGTGCCACGGAAGGGGGGGAGAGGACGGAAGGGGGGGAGGGGACGGAAATGGGCGTGGGTGTGAAGCAGGGGTGATCAGAGAAGGTTACTGAGGGATGCATGGCCTGTGAAAGCGAGTCTGAGTGGAATGTTTCGAAGATGTGACTCCAATGACACTCCCGTGCCCTTTGAACGCTATTTCAACGTGATTTAAATGCAGTCAAAGAACATGGGTGTGGGGGGAATTGGGGGGAGGAGAGGGGAGATAACGATGGGTAGCAGGACAAAGCAGAAAATGTACTGTACAGCACGATGCATGCACCCATCACCACCACCCGTCACCCCCATGCACCAGTGCGCCACCTCCATCTACAATCCGTCCCCACCATGCAGTAGTCAGCCACTTGGTTGCAGCTGTGGAACTCCTTGATCTTCCCCGCCCCACACGCGCGCTTCTGAGACACGCATACGGGTACGGGTGGGCGACAGCCATTGGCAATGGGGTGGAACGAAGCCATGGCAGCATGAGCAGCAGTTCACAGCAAGGACGGAAGAATTGGTGTTCACAGTGCTGGGGTGGCGGCAGAGGTGCGCAACGAAGAGCGAACTGAGACTTCAAGGGTAGCTGGAATACAGCACCAAGGAGTGATACGATGCATGCGATGTGGTATAAGCTCCGTGGTCTGTCCAAGAGCAGCATTAGCTGACAGAAGAATTTATGAAGCTGAAAGGAGGTTTGGAAATGGCGCTGTGGTGATTGGACTGAGCATTGCGTTAGACAGTGCATGGGTGGGGAAGCATGGTCATGGTGGAACAAGCTGGGGCAGTGCGACGGCAGCAGTGCGTGGCAAGTGATGCAGCGCACCATGTAGCCTAGGTCTGCTGAGGAGAAGTATATGATGGCGTGGCATGGCAGCTTGTCCCTGCCCGCCCTCGCACTCTCCTGGTGGCCACAGAGAGGGATGGTGCAGGATGGAGGGTGGGGGGTGGAAAGTGCAGGATGGAGGGTGACCAATGGGATGGCAATGAAAAGAAACCAGCAGAGAAAACAGCGAGATTCATGCGAGGGGGTAAGAGTAAGTGCGCCAGAGCGAGAGATGCTGCGCGGGCACTCAAGGAGACGGATGCCGGACAGCGCAACGTAGACATGGTTAAATCGCATCGCATCGCGTTATATCGCATTTTGCGATAGTAAGCTAGTCTAGGTTTCTCTTGCTGAATGGCGCGCGGAAATGGCAAGCGGCAGTTTGGGGAAGAGGAGTTTGTGTGAGGAGCAGAGCACATTAGAGGAAGGGTTGGAAATTCTAGATGGGAAGGAGTGCAGTGTGGTTGAGGGAGGGGAGTTTGGTGGGGGTTCAAATTTGTTATGGTTGGTGGTGGATGGTGGGCGAGTGGGTTTTCTGGATGGGATGTGGTGGTGTGCGGTTGAAGGGATTTAGGGGGTTGGACTGATTTCTCGACCCCCAAAGTCAATTGGTTGGAACTCCAACCAATTTCCACCACTTCAACCGCACTAAACTCCCCCGCATCTACAGAATCCAACCCCTTCCTCTCAAACACGCTCCACATGAGAGAGGGACCACGATATTCCCATCTCCCGTCAATTCACTTACCTAATTCCGCGTGAACCTAGGAGAGCCATTATTGTCGTGCCCTGTGGTGTGGGAACACGTTTTTTAGGGCGGGAAAACAGTGGCCCCTAAATGCGATGCGATATTCTGTCGCATCGCGCGATGCATCGCTTTTTTTAGGCGATATTTTTAAATATCGCCCCCTAAAACGCGATATGCGATTTCGGTTTTTTTTTAAACATATCGCAGGGATGCGATATTGCATCGCTGCGATATAATGCGCGATAAGAAAGAATGCGATGCGATATCGCATCGCATCGCGTTTTGACCATGTCTAGCGCAACGCCATCGCCGCGCAACATGACCCCAGAGGGTTGCGCAATACGGAATGACCATGTGGCGCCAGCACAACAACGTGCACTTCCCACATGCCCTGGCCGTGCCAGTGGCGGCACAGTAACCCCTCACCCCCAGCGGTGCTGCCTCACCTGGTAGAGGTTCTCCATGGACTTGGGCATGCTGTAGTGGATCACAAACCGCACTGCGCACCGTGGCGGCAGGAGGAAGGGGGGGGGAAGGGGAGAGGAGGAAGGGAGGGGAACGACATTGAGAAACAGACTAAGTTGCCTACAACAACCTCCTTCCGTGCCGTGAAGACAAGAGGAGCAGCCTCCCAACACTGGAAGCCGCCCTCCATACACCCAAAAGGAATGGCTCAAAAGGCAATTGTACCGTGTAACTGCGGTATGCATGAAGTAAGGCACCGAACTATCACCACGAATGCACCGGGAATGCCCCCGGAATGCCCCCGGGAATGCACCAGGAGTGCACCGGGAATGTACCCGGAATACACAGGGAATGCACCCAGAATGCACCAGGAATGCACCGGGAATGCATGGGGAATGAACCGGGAATGTACCCAGAATGCACGGGGGGTGTGCAACCCAGATCGCATCAGGTCAGGAGTGCACCGGGAATGCACCGGGAATGCACCAGCACCTTGCCCCATCCACTATGCCACTGCACCCTTCAATGCCTGCACTCTTTGTGCCAGGCACACTGCACACTCTAATCTACTGTGAACTTTTCAAATGAGCAACTTTCTGCCTGGTAGAGAAAACACCTTCCATATGTCAGAATATATGGAATTAGCGAGCAATACACCCATCCATCAATGCTGATGGAAAAGAGGGTCTACGGGTCCTAGGCACCCCCGTCGTAGCCTGATGTGGCACGCGCTGTGGCACCGTGAGAAGCACGCTTAGCGACTCAGCGCGACGTATGCAGCCCAGCACGCAAGGGGCACTGTGTGCCGCACTGCTCCATCACCTTCTTCTGCCGCAGGTAGCCTTCCCCGTCTCCCTCCTCTCACCAACACAACCCCTACCCTGGACTGTACAAAAACATCGTACGCTTGAGAGCATTTGCGAGACAGAGGAGGGAAGGTGGGAGGGGGAAGGTGAGGGGGGAGAAGGTGGGTGGGGGGAAGGTAGGTGCAGGGAAGGTGGGTGAGGGTGGGAAGGAGGGTGGGAGCAGGAGGGGGCACTGACCATCATTCTGATGGATTCCCGCCCCGAACGCATTCTGATGGGGGGGTGGCACGAGAGGGGGCAGCCAAGGGAGGCGGATGAACAGCGGGGGGAAGGGGGAGATCGGGCAGGAGGTGGGGAGGGGAAGCGGGGACGACGGGAATGTAAGCACGAGGCAATGGTGTGCGATCGGAAAGTGCTTGGACGGCCAACCATGACCACCAAAGAAGCATTCGTGAGAACGCAAAAACGAAACAGAACCGTACATTGAAATTGAGGGGGGGGGGTGGGGGGAAAATGGGGGCGGTGGGGTGGGGAGATGGGGGGGGGGATGAAGAGGGGGTTTGAGTGAGAAGAACAGCAGGTGGAGGAGAGAAAGGCTAGGGGAGAGGGAGAGTACCGTTGCTGCAAGCACTTGCACTTCCTTCTTTCGCCACCTGGCAGTCAAGGTGCAGTCACATCTCACAGGCAATGCACGCGCGCGCAAGCCCACACACACTTCCCCCCACCCCCCCCCAACACACACACACACAGACATGCACACACGCACATTCAGTCACACAAACTCACATCAGCACATGCGGGAAACAAGCAAGAGCAGCATGTGAAGACAGCTCAGGAGAAGCAGGTGAGAGCGCAGGAGCAATCGTCCAATGAAAGTGCAAACATTGCTCCACACGTTTGCCCCTCCACGCTGTTCCCTCACCCCACTCCACTGCCCACTCATCAACTCCATGCTCACCCGTCTCCCTCCCCCCCTCCTCTCTCCCCCCCCCACGCTCTCTGCCCACCTCTCCCACTACCCCACCCCCCCCACACGCCCTGCGCCCGCGCACCGGATTCCAGCGACCTCGGGCCAATGCCCCCCTATCACCCCCTCTCCCGCTCACCTGTCCTGGTGGCGGTCCCTCTCCACCACGCCCAGCCCAGCGCTGTATGCCAGCGCCGTCACGCCCGCCATGCGCAGCTGCCGCGCCACCTGCACGCGGCACCACGGAAGCCAAGCCATGAGTGGGAGGGTGGGGCACACCACACTTGCTTAGGGGGCATTGCACAGAGCTCATCTCAATCCTCAACCCCAGCTCCAGACTCGCAACCTCCCCTCATCCCATCCTCCTCCCTCTCCCTCACCGCAACCTCTCCCCCACGAGACCCACAGCCCACATCCATCAGGTGAATGAAGGAAAGGAGAGAGCACAGGAGAGATAGCGCTGTGTGCAACACTGAGAAACAGCACAGGGAGAGGGGGGGGGAGGAAGGAAGGGAAGGCAGCGCTGCGTACAAATAGGCTCAGCGCCGCCAAGGGACAGCACAGCACAGATTTAGTGTAACTGCATGCGTACTGCCTCACAAGCACGCGCACAGGGCGGAGCTTGAATGGCTGACCTCGTCCGTCTCCTCGCGCTTCCAGCAGTACACGAGGCCCGTCTGCCCCGGGTACGTGGCCTGGATGAACGCCACTATGTCCTCCACCACACTCTTGCGCTTCTCCCGCACCTGGGGGTAGGGGGGGGAGAGGAGACGTGGGGGGGGGAGATGGGGAGGAGGCGAGAGAGAGAGAGAGAAGGAGAGTGTGGCGACATGGCTCCGGGTCCGGGGGACCGCTTTGCCGTAGTGGAGCCCCTAGGGGAGCTCCAGTAGGCGAGGACCCCCACAACGTGCACGTACCTTGTCTTGCTGTGACTCTGCATGCCTAGCTTGTACCCCGTTTCCAGCAATAAACGGACCGCTTGTGAGAGAGTGTATGTGAGCAGACGAGAAAGGGGGGGAGGGGAAGAGGGGTAATGGTGAGCCAGGTGCAGGCAGTCATGTGATGCAGGTTTCTTTCAGGGTCGTAGAGGAGGAATCAGGTCAAGCGACTGGCAGATGAATGAACGCCCCTCTCACTAACTCCCCACAACTCTTCCAAGAATAACACGTGTCTCTCAGCGCCATGGTCGCCCCCATCTCTTCGCTGTATATGTGCCAACTCAGGAAGCATCAGATGATGTGGGGCGGCACGGCACCTCGTAGTGGATGTGCGGCAGGCGGGTGGAGGAGATGAAGGTGAGCGTGTTGCTCGCATGCAGCTGCAGCCGCGCCCTCAGCTCCTGCTGTGCCGCCACGTTCGCTGTCGCCTGCCATGGAGTTGCGGCGGAGGGGGGGGGGGGGGGGGGAGGGGGGGAGACACGAGAAACAAGGGGCACAGGAGGAGGTGCAGGCGGTGAATGGCCGAGGAGGGAGGGGTGTGCACAGTGGAGGAGGCGGGGAAAGGCAAGAGGTAGCCGATGGTAGTGGTCAAGCTGACAGCCGATTGGGATGCTACAGGCAGCGCCCAACACGTAGGGAAGAGGAGCATGGTGAGGTGCGAGGGAGGGAAGCGAGAAGGATCAAGGCTACTGAGCAACTCAAGGCAGAAGGGTCTACTACAGGCAAACAGTAACGGGAGGCAAGGTGCGGGGAGGTGGGGGGGACATACAGCAGTAGGTGAGGCAGAAAAGAGGAAGCTGAGGGGAATGGCAGACGCGCAAAGAGGGCGAGGCAGAGCAAGGGACAGGAGAGGGAGAGCCAGACGAGACGGAGAGGAAAGGGAGAGGAGAGGGAGAGCTGCGGCGGTGGGTACGGTGATGGCGAAGATGGGCACGCCCGGGAAGCAGTCGCGCAGGTGGTCGCCCACTATCTTGAGGAACGGGCGGAAGGGGTCGCTGCCGTTGCAGTGGTGCGCCTCCTGGTGGGGGGGAGTGGGGGCATGTGGGGGGAAAAGCAAGTGGGGAGAGAAGCAGCGGGGGAGAGAACCAGCAGGGGAGAGAAGCAGGTGAGGAGAGAAGCAGGTGAGGAGAGAAGCAGGTGAGGAGATGGCTTTATGGAACCGTCGCCTTACTGGTGGCACTACAATGCATCGCTACATCTACAGCACACAGGCACCAGTCTCTGCAGTTAGCCTTTGCCTCGCGCCCCTCCCCCATCCACTCATGTCCCCTCACCCACTCATGTCCCCTCACCCACTCATGTCCCCTCACCCACTCATGTCCCCTCATCCACTCATGTCCCCTCACCCACTCATGTCCCCTCACCCACTCATGTCCCCTCACCCACTCATGTCCCCTCACCCACTCATGTCCCCTCACCCACTCATGTCCCCTCACCCACTCATGTCCCCTCACCCACTCATGTCCCCTCACCCACTCATGTCCCCTCATCCACTCATGTCCCCTCACCCACTCATGTCCCCTCACCCACTCATGTCCCCTCACCCTAAGTGGGAAAATTCGCGTTTCGCGTAAATTCGCTAACGAATTTACGCTGGCGTAAATTCGCCCGAACGCCAGGGCCCTGTTTTGAATTCGTTGGGAAATTCGTTCCGCCCGGGCAGGAAAAAAATGTCCGGGCAGGCCCAAAAAAAAGTTCCCAGGTAGGGGGGGCGTGGGAGGTTTCAGGGCAACTCTTTTTAAGCAAGAAAATTTTAGCACAAAATTATTATTGCTTCTCAAAGTTTATGGCAGCAGCATGTTCTAGAGTTTGGGGGGTATCCTTCGCATTAACAGCCCTGCAGCAACCTACAGCAACATGATGAACCATACTCATGAGGTAAGCTAAGGTCTATGCTTAAACTAGATCTACTAGCTATGACGCGGAGTGATTAGCTAGATCTACTCTACGTCTGGTAGAGTAGCCTGTGAGATGCGTGCGTGATATGGTTGCGTAAGTTGGGTGGTGGATGGGTTGGGTTCTTTAGATGCGGTGGGGTTTGATGCGGTTGGGAGCGTGGGAGGGGTTGGGAGCATGTTTAGTGATTCAAAAGTTAGAATCGCGAATTGGCGAGGCCACGGATGGCTTCGCCAAGTCGTCGCGAATGGAGTTGGGAAATTCGTATTTTTTTGTCCGGGCTGCCCCGAAAAAAATCCCCCAGCGTTTCGCGAATTTCAGGTAAATTCGCGTTTGCGAATTTACGCTTACGAATTTACGCAAAACGCTGGGGGACCCCAACGAATTTGCCCACTTAGCCCTCACCCACTCATGTCCCCTCACCCACTCATGTCCCCTCACCCACTCATGTCCCCTCACCCACTCATGTCCCCTCACCCACTCATGTCCCCTCACCCACTCATGTCCCCTCACCCACTCATGTCCCCTCACCCACTCATGTCCCCTCGCCCACTCATGTCCCCTCGCCCACTCATGTCCCCTCGCCCACTCATGTCCCCTCACCCACTCGTATCCCCTCGCCCACTCGTGTCCCCTCACCCACTCATGTCCCCTCGCCCCACTCACATCCACCACAATGAGTCGCAGCATGCCCCGCTGGTAGCATGCCCTCAGCGCCGCCTTGAGGTCGCCGCACTTCTCCAGCGCCTCAGGCGTCACGTACACGCACAGGTGCTCCTTGCCACCACCGCCGCCCACCCCTGCCTGGCCTGCGGTGTGTACAGGCGTTTGGCCCGACAAGGTGAGGGGCGCATGGCCTGTGAGCGCTGCAAAGACCTGCTGGCGGTAGCGCTTGTCAGCCGTGGAGGGATGGCCCAGCACCAGCCCCACATTGAAGGGCAGGTGCCGCAGGGTCTGTACCTGTTGGGGGGAGTGGAGGGGGGAGGGTGGGAACGTGGGGGGGGAGAGGAGTGGAGGGTGTGCTTGTGGTGTGGTGTGGCCCTGTGCGTGGGTGAGGCCATGAGTGGTGCTTGATGGGCTCGTGCGGGCATGCACCACCCTGTCAGAGCCACCAAGTTATGCCCGTCAAGTTATGAGGAATGGCATAACAACACAAACACAGAAAACCAGAAACTGAGGCAGAAGCTCCAGCAACCGAATAACCACCTCACTCACACACTTGCTCACGTCTCCCCCTCCGCCCTTCCCATTCCCTCTCCCTTCCTTTCTCTTCCCCAAGTTCCCACCCCCACTCCCCCCCACTATCCTCCCCCCCCCCCCTCCTCCCCTCACCTGGTTACGGATGAGGGCGCGGAAGGGGCTGACGACGAGGGTGGCGCCCCCCAGCAGCACAGCGGCGAGCTGGAAGCACAGGCTCTTGCCGCTGCCTGCCGGCAGCACCGCCAGCACGTTGCTGGGCGGGCGCGCCAGCAGCGCTCGGATGATCTGCCAGGGAGGATGGGCAGGGGAGGGAGGCGAGTGCAGAAGGAGGGATAGGCGGAGAAGGGAGAAAAAGGAAGGGGATAAACGGGAGAAGCGGAGGACATGGGCGATGATGGGATTAGGGGGGGCAGCGAGAGGGGGGAAGGGGGAGGGAGTGGGGGGGAGGGTGAGGGAGGAGGAAGGGGGAGAGAGGGTGAGAGAGGAGGGAGGGGAAGGGAGGGTGAGAGAGGAGGAGGGAGGGGGAGCGAGGGTGAGAGAGGAGGAGGGAGGGGGAGGGAGGGTGAGAGAGGAGGAGGGAGGGGGAGGGAGGGTGGCGAGGTTGGAACAGGGTTTAAAAAAAAGGCGTTTTTTTCATTTTTAGACCGTTTGCTACGGTACCGTAATTTTCGGCCGTTTCAAACGATATAAAACGATCCCGAATGTTTCTTTTTTTTTGGTGGAAAAAAACGGTCGTTTATTTCATACGTACATGTATTTGTCAAATTGATGAATTCGTTACAGTTTTCGAGGGTTGGGTGTACACCCAACCCGTCGAAATCGGATCGGTCAACACTTTCCCGAGGCGCGCCCTCGACACCTTCCCGAGCCGCACATTTTGGTTTTTCGCCAAACCCGTTGCGCAACTGACAAGGGCTTCGCAACGGGTTGGCGTTTCATTTCGCGCCCAGTAGCGTGCGTTCGCACAAAGCGAAACGCCAAACCGAGGCGATACCGAAGCGCATTTTCAAATTGGAATTCCATCCAATTCGTCCCCTCCCAACCCCAACTCCAAACCCAACCTGCAGCACCAGGTACAAAAGGAGAGGGCAAACAGAAAGGTAAAGTAATTAGTTTTACCACCAGAAATCACCACCTTAGCTTCGCCTAGCATACTTGCTGGCAATTTTAGCCCTCCGTTTCGAGTCCCTCGCCTGTGCGCGTTCTATCGCCACCTTACATTGACTTTAGATTGCATTTTTCCGCCATGCCGCGCACCCCGTCGGCATTGTGGGTGCATGTGCAAGGTCATCCGGACGGAGTGCAACTACTGCAACATGAATATTTATGGAAGCGCTACTCGCATCCAGGAGCACCTTGACGGCACCCCGGCGTGCAAGTTCAAGAACGTTGCTGAGTGCAAGAGCGAGTATGCTAGGAATCTCCGTGCTAAGGGTCTCACCCCGACTACCACTACCGTCATGGTCCGCGGTACGACGTCCACGGATCCTGCTCCGGCCGCTAAGTGCAGCCGAAATCGCGACATCCAAGGGATGGTCGACAAGGCCGGCCACGACGCATTGGATCTCCTTTGGGTCACGGCCGTCGTCGAAAACGATTGGGTCTTCAGAGTTTCTCAGTAAGTAAGCCCCGAAATCGTGCCATCCCATGCATCTTCACACATCCTCTCCCGCCCCGGCATACCGTTCTATCTCGGATTGCTTTTGCGGGCGCTTCAACTAATTACACCTCCCTCCTCGCTCCTCAACTAGGTCACCCGCCTTGCAATCCTTTGTCGAGGGGGGTGTCGCTTACGAGAAGCCCTACACGCTGCCAAGTGCGTACAAGGTCTCCCACCCTCTCCTTGCCAAGCTGAAAACCGACACGGAGGCCCTCATGCAACCGATCAAGGACTCGTGAGCCTCGAGTGGATGCTCGATCACTGTGGACGGGTGGTCGGAGATGAAGAATCGCGGGCTTGTTTGCATCATCGCTATGAATGACACCGGGCCCGTGGTCGTCGCCGTGGTGGACACGGCGACGAACAGGAAGACGGGCACATACCTTGCGTCCTTGATCCGGCCGGCGCTCGTGGAGGTGGGTGGGGGATAATCACGTTGTCCAAGTGGTGATGGACAACGCTAGCACTAACAAGAAGGCGGCCAAAGAGCTCCGTGAAGGGTACCCCTCCATTTTTTTCACTAATTGCGTCCCGCATTGCTTGGATTTGATGCTTCAAGATATCGGGTCCATTGGGGTGCTTAGGAGGGTGTTGCTTCAGGCTCACCGTGTGGTAATGTTGGTGAAGAACAGCTCCACCGCTGTGAACCTCTTTCGGGAGGTTTTCAGCGAGCTTGAGCTCGTGCGACCCGGAACCACCAGATTCGGTACTCAAGTGATCATGGTGTCCCGGTTCTTGGAGGTGAAGCGGCAATTGCGCAACATGGTAATTAGCGAAGAGTGGGGGGAGGTGCCGGTTGCGAAAACAGAGGAGGGGCGGCGAATCCGCCGCCTCCGCCTTGACGATGCCTTTGGGGGCTCGGTGGAGGTGGTGCTGAAACTCATGACCCTCGTGTACGAAGTGCTCCGGGCGGTAGACACGCGGGCTCACCTCATGGGAAGGATCTACGGCTTGATGCTCGACGCCACGATGAAGACCAACGAGGCGGCCGAGCGGGCGGGTAAGTCCCCATGTCCCACATGCATGGTGCTTGACTCACCTCATTGCTTGTGTACTCACTCCTCCCCATATTGTACCCCAAACTCACCTCATTGCTTGCGCACCTCATTGCTTGCGTACCTCATTGCTTGTGCAGCCACATACTTCGTGAAGAAGTCCGGGCTGCTCTTGGCCAAGGACAAGTCTTCCTTCCTGACCAAGGTGCGCCGGATTATTGCCCAGCGTTGGGACGGTCAGCTGCATAACCCTCTGCATGCGGCTGGTTGGCTCCTTAACCCCGTCAACCGCTTTGCCGAGGAGGTTAGGGGTGATTCGGAGATTGTGAACGGGATGGAGAGTAGACATGGTCAAAACGCGATGAAATGCGATATAATATCGCATCGCATTTAGGGGCCACTGTTTTCCTGCCCTAAAAAAACGTGTTCCCACACCACAGGGCACGACAATGGTGACTCTCCTAGGTTCGCGCGGAATTAGGTAAGTGAATTGACGCGAGATGGGAATATCGTGGTCCCTCTCTCATGTGGAGCGTGTTTGAGGGGACGGGGTTGGATTCTGTAGATGCAGTGGAGTTTAGTGCGGTTGAAGTGGTGGAAATTGGTTGGAGTCTAACCAATTGACTTTGGGGGTCGAGATTTCAGTCCAACCCCCTAAATCCCTTCAACCGCACACCACCACATCCCTTCCATAAAACCCACTCGCCCACCACCCACCACCAACCATAACAAATTTGAACCCCCACCAAACTCCCCTCCCTCAACCACACTGCACTCATTCCCATCTAGAATTTCCAACCCTTCCTCTAATGTGCTCCAAGCTCTGCTCCTCACACAAACTCCTCCCCCCAAACTGCCGCTTGCCATTTCCGCGCGCCATTCAGCATCACCCCAAGAGAAACCTAGACTAGCTCACCATCAATTTTCGCTAAGTTCAGGGCCCTCGCCCATCAAGGTACAAAATACGGCCGTTTTTTTCATTTTCAGGCCGTATGGTACGGTACCTTACGATACGGCCGTTTAATTCGGAAAAAAACGATAGGTGTAATGTGGATTTTTTGTGTGCAAAAATACGGTCGTTTTTTACGACCGGTTTTTTAGTTCCATCATGTACATGTTTCAATCTCGAATTCGAAACACATTTCGATGGTTGAGTGTACACCCATCCGTCAGCAAATTTCAAGTCAATGAGTTCCTGAGGCGCGCGAGCGACACACAACCGAGCCGCGCATTTCAGGGGTTTCGCGAAGCCCGTTGCGAAACATTTGTCCGTTTCGCAACGGGTCTCATAGATATTTCGCGCCCAGTAGCGTGCGTCGCGCATTTCGTGGCACACACTACTGAGGCACATTTCGATTTCGAAATCCCTCCCCTACCCACCCAATCTTGCCTTCAACTTTCCACCCAACACCTGCATGACGAAATACAAATACAGAGCACAAACAGAGAGGTAAGAATCAGAGTTTTTTGCAAGTAGAATTAGGTTCCTAAGTTCGCGCAGCCTCCTTTCAGGCTCTCCACCCCGCCGATTTCTAGAGTTCGATCATCCGCATCGCAACTATAGCCTTGTGCAAATAATCCTAGGTTCGCCCGCTCGCGTTTCAGCCATGCCCTGCACCCCGTCTAGTATGTGGGAGCATGTGACGAAATTATGTGACGAGCAAGGCAAGGCCGTCCGCGTCGAGTGCAACCATTGCCACATGAGCGTCACGGCAAATGCGACGCGGATCCGGGAGCATCTTTTCGGCACGCCGGCATCCAAATTCCGGAACATTGCTGAGTGCAAGTCTGAATTTGCGAAGAATCTCCGCGTCAACGGTCAAAGCTCGACGACCGCGGCCATGGTCCGCGGATCAACAGCCACCGTCGGGGGACCGGCGGGCAAGCGCAGTCGCAACCGCGACATCCGTGGCATGGTGGACAAGGCGGGCCGCGATGCCCTCGATCTCCTATGGGCGACGGCCGTGGTGGAGAACGACTTGGCCTTTCGGATTAGCGCGTAAGTGTGCTTCAACCGTGCGATGCGACGTTTGCTTCTACAACAGCCCCACTCCCCCTCTTCACCCTCGCCATCTCTACCATGCATCGCCATAAGTGTTTCTCCCCTTATTCGCCATAGTTAGTTCTTTTGCCATCCCCGCTCCCCCTCCACCCCTCAGACAGCTCACCCTCCATGCATCCGTTTGTCGAGGGGGTTGTGGCGTACGGCAAACGCTTGCATGGAGGGTGAGCGCCTACTCGGTCTCCCACCCGCTCCTCGCTAAGCTTAAGGCCGAGACCGAGACCCTCATGCAGCCCCTCAAGGACTCATGGGCCTCGACCGGTTGCTCCTTATCCGTGGACGGGTGGTCGGACCTGAAGAGCCGCGGTCTCGTTTGTATCATAGCCATGAACGACACCGCGCCCGTGGTGGTCGACGTAGTTGACACAAAGACGAACAAGAAAACGGGTGCCTACCTTGCAACACTCATTGGGGAAGCGATTTGCAAGGTGGGTCACACTCGCGTTGTCCAAGTGGTGATGGACAACGCGAGCAACAATAAGAGGGCGGCCCTGGACCTTGGGGATAGATATCCTTCTTTTTTTTCACCAATTGTGCGGCACACTGCTTGGATCTCATGTTGGAAGACCTCGGGAGTATTGGTGTGATAAAGCGGGTCTTGCAACAAGCTCACGGGGTGGTCATGCTTGTGAAGACGAGCGCCACCGCGGTCAACCTCTTTCGAGAGGTGTATAGCGAGCTTGAGCTTGTCCGACCGGGTGCCACTCGGTTTGGTACCCAAGTCATCATGGTGCAGCGGTTTTTGGAGGTAAAGAAGCAATTGAAAAGCATGGTCATCTCCGAGGAGTGGTTGGATGTGCCCGCCGCGAAAACCAAGGAGGGGCAGCACATCGCCCAGGTTCTCCTCGATGAGGCATTTTGGGGCTCGGTGGAAGCGGTCCTGAAATTGATGACCCCGGTGTACGAGGTCCTTCGGGCAACGGACAAGCGGACTCACCTCATGGGGCGAATTTATGGGATGATGCTCGACGCCACCATGAAGACCAACTCAGCGGCCGAGGTTGCAGGTTTGTTTCCCACCCCCTTCCGCCCTCCAAACCTAGCATTGTCCTCACCTCCCCTTGACTCTCTTGGTTGACTGTCCAACCCTCCCAATACCCCCCACTCACTTGGCCCATTTGTGCCTTGTGCTTGATAGGGCAGCCACATTTTTTGTGCGGCGGACAGGCTTGCTCTTGGCCAAGGACAAGGCCTCGTTCTTGGCCAAGGTAAGGCGGATTATAGCTCGGTGTTGGGATGCCCAGCTACATAACCCGTTGCATGCCGCTGGATATCTCCTTAACCCAGCCAATCAGTTTGCCGAGGAGGTTCGGGGCGACGACGAGATCGGGAAGGGGATGAAGAACGTGATTGACAAATGGGAGACGGATATGCAGCGCCGCACCCTCATCCACGCCCAACTCGCCCGCTTCCATTGTGGGGAGGGGAGCTTGGGGGGCAAGGATGCTCGGTGGGCAACTTCCGCGCTTGTGGAGAGCGGGAAGCTCTCCAAGGCGGACTGGTGGTCCACCTTCGGGGGGGAGGTGAGGGCGCTTCAGGAAATGGCCGTCAAGATCCTCTCCCAACCGTGCACGTCGTCCGAGGTGGAGAGGGCGTGGTCGGCTTTCAGCCGGGTGCAGCGACGCGATCGGAACCGGCTGAATTCCAACACCATGATCGATGTCACGGTGGTGGCGTTCAGCCGGCGATCGCGGGCCACATTTGATCGCAAACAGGCAGCCCGAGAGCGCCTCTACGCCGACCTCGGGTCGAGCGTGTTGGGGGAGGGGAGCGTTCCTCCTTCCCTCACTACCACTGCCTCCTCTCAAGCGGAGGAGGGGGAGGGGGGGGAGGAGGAGGAGGTGCAGGAGGAGGAGGAGGGTGCTGGAGCCTGCACCATTGATTGGGCCACCTTTGGGAACATCAGTGCGCCTAAGAAGCGCAAGACTAAGGAGAACAAGGGGAAGGGGGGAAAGAAGAATTGCGGGGCAAAGAAGGGGACCGGAAAAGGCAAATAGGTGAAGGAGGAGGAGGCGACAAAGGCAACAAGTGATTGCAGCAGCGAGGAGGAGGAGGAAGATGGCCTTGGGCCATGGGATTTCGGCGCGGGGGGGGGGGGGTGATGGTGGGCGGGTGTGCGAGGGGAAGGGGGAAGGGGAGGAGAGGAAGAGGAGGAGGAGGAGGAGGAGGAGGAGGTTGACGAGGAGGATAACGGGGAGGAGGATGAGGACGAGGACGAGGAGGAGGACGAGGAGGAGTGAGGAACAAGGAGTGAGGAGGAGGAGTGAGGAGGAGCTGGCCCCAATAGGCAAGGGGTGGAGAAGGTGCTAGAGGAGGGAGTAGAAGGTGGAGGAGTTCGGGCCCAAGCTTCGGTGACGTCTACTATTTCTTTCCACACCCACCTTGCATGTCACGAAGCCACCAGCAGTCGTAGTTAGCTGCCCGATGTTTTAATACAAAGAAAAAAAAAAAAAAAAAATCTGGTCTATTAGAAAACGGCGTTTTTTTCCAAAAAAAAACCCCGAAAAATACCATTGAAAAAACGGCCTGCCGTTTTTTTCAATCTTGGGTTGGAAGGCATAAGGAGTAAAAGTGCAGGGGCGGATTTGAGGGAGGGGAGAGAAGGTAACAGCCTCTGCATGTACAACTGAGGATCTTGCAGCGCCTGCACTTGTGGGATAGTATATTCTGAAATTGAGCAAGTACCCCCTGACTGCCCCCCTTACCTCCAGCTGGTGTGGGTTGAAGGGCCCCGAGATGCCAAACACCTGCTCCTTCACCGCGTGGATCTCTGCATCCAGCCAATGCGTGCCACTGCCACCCACAGCACCACCAGCAGCGGCGGTATAAGGTCCATGGCCCACAGACCCGTGGCTTGGTACTGTACTGTACACGCCATTTGTCATGCCCTGCATGCCCCCACAAAAGGGCGGCCCCATTGCGCCCCTGCCACCAAACTGTTGTGCGGGATGCTGCTGATAATGATGCTGCTGCTGCTGCTGCTGCTGATGCATGTTGTGCGGATGAGCATATTGGTGCTGGTTCCAGGAATAAGGTGGTACTCGTGCATGCACATGCTGCTGCTGTGTTCGCCGCTGCTGGTAGGTCTGCTGTTGGTTCTGCTGCTGTAGCTGCATCTGTTGGTGCTCCGCCTGCTGCTGCTGCTGGTTCTGCTGCAGGTGAATATGCTGCTGTTGCTGCTGTTGGTGCTCCGCCTGCTGCTGATGGTGATGCTGATCCTGCTGTGGCTGCAGTATAGTCTGCTCCTGCTGCCGCTGCTCCTGCTGCTGCTGCTGCTGCTGCTGCTGCTGCTGCTGCTGCTGCTGCTGCTGCTGCTGCTGCTGCTGCTGCTGCTGCTTCTGTTGCTGCTGATGCTCCTGTCGCTGCAGCGGAATCTGCTGCTGCTGCTGCCAATTCTGCTGCATGTCATCTTGCCCCAGCTCATTCTTCTGCTGTTCCTGCTTCTTGTGCGGCTGCAGGTCTTGCGCCTGCTGCTGAATGTCGCGTTGCCGCTGCTCGAGCTGCTGCTGCTCCTGCGGCGCCCATTCCTTTGGCAGCAGCACTACCGGCGCAGCTGAGGCCAGCGGCGTGAGTGGTGGCAGCGAGTGCTGTTGCTGCGCTGACTGCGCGCTCTCCTGCCGCTCGTCCTGCCCCTCGCTCTCTGTCTGCCTGTACCGCTGCTGTGCGCGTGGCGGCCGGCACAGCTGGGGTGTGGACACGGAGGGAGCAGGGGATGCTGCAGCGTGCTCGCCTTGCTTCCGCCCATGCTCGCCTTGCTCCCCATGCTCAGTCTGCTGTTTATCCTTCTCTTCCTGCTTATCCCGCTCTTGCTGCCGTTGCCCCAACCCGCCCGGCTGCAGCAGCAGCACCAGCGCGTCTCCATCGTGGTCACCAGCGTGCACCTGTCCCCGCGATGGCTCCTCGTCCCGCTCCTCCTTCCCCCTGCGCGCCTCCTGTGCTGCCTTGCCGGAGGGGCTCGCACTGCGCTGCTGCGCCGCCTGCAGCCGCGCCAGGTCTGTCTTCACATGCGCTGCTGGGATGGGGGGGAGAATGGGGAAGTGGGGGGTGGGGGGAAGGAGGGGAGCGCGTGGGGCAAGAGAAGAGGGAGTCGCGGATGTGGCGATGGGAGGTTAGCGAGTGGCCGAAAGGCTTGCCACGCTCTCACCCCTCGAAGCATACATCCTTCCTGTTCGTCCCCCCGCCCCCCCTCACTCCCTCCCTCCTTCGCTGCACAACTTCCGCTCCCCCTCTCCTTCTCTCGTCTCGTTTCTTTCCTCTCTCCTCTGTCCCCTCTCCTCTCCCCTCTCTTCTCCCTCCTCTCCCCTCTCTCGTCTCTCTTCTTTCCTCTCTCCACTCTCCTCTCTCCTCTCTCCTCTCTCTTATCCATCTGCATCTCCCCCTAAACGTCATCCCATCGCCATCCCACGTGCTAGCTCTTCTGCCAATCCTCATCGCCCTTACCCTCTACCGCCTCCCGCCGCCCTTACTCTCCAGCGCCTCCTTCTGCTGCCGCAGCTGCCGAATCAACGCGCTCGGCTCCATCGCGCGCCGCTCGCTCGCGGCGACGCCACGACTCGCGGCCGCTGCGGAGTAACCGCGGGGGCCGCTCGTCGAAACCAGACCTCAGATCTGTGGAGGAGGGCTAAATTTACGCATAGACTAAGGCGCGTCACTGGAGAACTAGGGCAAGCAAATACGGTGTTGTATGTGCACGAATGTCCACCGCATTTCCCCCACCTTCGGCCGCCGCGAATCTTCCCAACCAAAACCCCCCGAACCAGCACAAACCCAGGCCCGAGTACAGTTCATTCCATCTACCTTTATACACACTTGATTACAACTCGTTGAAAAAGCACCCCATGAAATAAGGCATATATACGGTGCAACAATTAAAACAATGTAGAAATGTCCATCAACCCAATCACACTGCAAATAATGAATATTGAGAATCCAGCCAACTGATAGCAGTAGTCGATTGGCGACAATTTTTCAGAGTCGCAAGCAGGGCCTCAGATTGGTTTTAGGGAGGCTGATTGCTCAGGATCGCCCATGTGAGAACCCTGTTTTTCAGGGTCGGGTTTTGGGCGTGGCATATTTTTTCAGGCCAAAAAAAAATTAAGTCTGACTAATCAGGCCTACGTTTTTTTAGTATCTGATTCTTATTTCGGATCGGACTTCACTGCGTACGATGTACCTGTGTGATTTTGGCGGAGGACTCAGAGAAAATTCTTACGGTCCTCGCGTCAGACTAACCTGGTGTCAAACTTCAGTTTTCCCGGACCGCAGCTCAGACTTTCAACCCTCGCGTCAGATATGGCGGCACATGCTCAACATCGCGAAAGTCGCAAGTGATGCCACGTGCATGCGTGGTTTTCGCAAATGCATCTTCGCCCAAACCAGCACCTCATAATTTGCCGAGATTCAGGCACAGGCGTCACCTCGTACCTTGCCGGGAATGCTGTTTATGCAGTCGCAGGGACGGCAAACTTTCGCCGTGGATTTCCAGTTTAGCGAAATTCACGCAGCAATTCGCCACTTTCTGCGGGCTGGTCTGTGCTTTTGGCTAAGGCCCAAACACGCCCCTCACACCTGCTCCAGTTCACATAAAACTACCTACGTCATTCTGGTGAAGGACCAGTCACGTCCCTCACACCTGCTCCAGCTCGCCTAGCGTGATTCTGGTCGACCAGTCACGCCCCTCACACCTGCTCCAGCTCGCCCTGCAGAAAGGATTATGTTTCAGGGCAGATTTCGACTAAGGCTGATTCGTCAGACTCGCAAAAACAAGAACATACTATTTTTCAGGGTTTAAAACATGGGAACACATAAATTTCAAGTTTGATGAAAATCAAAACCTGAAAAATCAGGGTATGCCCTAAAAAACACCCTGATATACAGGCTTTCAGGCCTTTTTGGCCTGACTTCCGAGGGCCTGGTCGCAAGTGTCGAGAGACCCGCTGGGGTTACCCTTGATAAGATTCTCCAGGAAGGGCCACAGGTGCAGAGCCTGGGGGGCTATGGGCGCATTGACCCGCTATTAACAAGCCTTTTAACTCAGTGGTTAATGACTGAGTTCTGACATAGTATCAGAGCGTTAGTGACTCAGGTTCAATTCCCAGTTCTAGCGCTGCAGAGGCGCTCGTGTCCTCCGCCTATCCCAGCGAGGGGGGATGTCGAGAGACCCGCTGGGGTTACTCTTGAGAAGATCCTCGGGGAAGGGCCACAGGTGCAGAGCCTGGGGGGCTATGGGCGCACTGACCCGCTATTTACTAGCCCTTTTAACTCAGTGGTTGGTGACTGAATTCTGACAGCAAGTGACAAGTGTTATCCTCCCTAATAGTTCACTTCGCTAGGCTATACAAACATAACTAACCTAACTAAAGATATGTATATATATATATATATATATATATATATATATATATATATATATATATATATATATATATATATATATATATATATATATATATATATATATATATATATATATGTCAGCCAGAGGCAGCTCGCTGACTTCAGCCAGCTCATCAACACTAGCTAACGCCAACTCATTGTGGCCAGCGCCAGCCAGCTCGCCAGCGCCAGCTCGCTAGAGCTAGCTCGCCCGATCACCAGCGCCAGCTTGTAAGCGCCAGCTCGTCAACACCTTGTAGCCAGCCTACTAGCGCCAACGCCAACTAGCTCGCTAGCCCGCCAGCGCCAGCTCGCCAACTCTAACTCGCTAGCACCAGCCAGCTCGCCTACTCACCAGCGCCACCTTGCTAGTGCCAGCTCGCCAGCGCAAGCAGCCTGCGCTTGCCAGCTCGCTGGCTCACTAGCACAACCAGTGCCAACTGCTCCTGCTGCTGCCTTTGCAGCCGCCGCTGCCCTTGTAGTTGTCGGTGCAACCGCCGCTGCCTCCGCTGCCTCTGCAGCGACTGTCGTCTCTGTCGTTGCCCACCATCAGCTTCGGCCTCCAGCAGCCGGCCTCGAGCCACCAGCACCAAGCGCCAGCCGCCAGCAGCCGACGGCCGACTCCAACTGCCACCGGCGACCACCCGCCTACCCCCAGCCGCAAGCTGCAGTCGGCCGCCAGTCGCCAGTCGGCCGCCTGCTGCCAGCCGTCAGTCAGTCGCCAGCCTCGTGAGTTCCCTTGTGCTTTTCAGACTGCCCTTCGCCCAGTGCCGCTAGTCTTAGTGACTCCTAGCTTGCTCTATAGCGTGCTGCTCCTAGTAGCTCCTCTCGCATGTACTTCCTTCTCGTTTGCTCCCCCTCCTTCCCCCAGCTGCTCCTAGCCTACCGCCAACAGCTCACTAGCCACTGTCCACTCGCAGCCAGCAAGCTGCCGCCAGCCGGCTCGCCTCCAGCTAGCCGCCAGCAGTGCCTGCCAGCTCGCCGCCAGCAGAGCCTGCCCACACACCTGCCAGCTCGTCGCCAGCAGAGCCTGCCCACACACCTGCCAGCTCGCTGCCAGCAGCCTTTGCCCACAGCTGCCATCTTGCCTGCACGCCAGCTCACTAGCTCACTCCCAGCTTGCCGCCTCTTGCTACCAACTTGCTGCCAGCTAGCCGCCACTGCCATCTTATTGTCACTAGCTACTACTTCTGTTAGCGTGCAGCTAGCCGTTGCTGCTGCCAGTCGCTCAATGCAACGAGTCTGCCACAACTACCACTGTTGCTACCTGCGTTAGTGCTCCTGTAGCCCCTAGCGCCTCCCACTAGTCTCCTCTTCATTTATAGAGTTCCTCGAAGCCTCTCCTCTCGGCATGATGGCCTCGCTAGGGTCAGTCCCTCGGCCAGACCATTGGGCACTTCCCTCCGCACTCTGGTTTCTCGCTCACCGTCTATAGCTGGTCAGCCCATACGTAGACCACACGCTCTTGGAGGACCACATTAGTTGCCTGATTGGCTTCTGGCTCCACGACCTCGACGTCTGCTTTCGGGCTCTCTAGCCAGTGCCGTAGCCGCAGTAGCAGCAGTAGCCGCAGCAGCAGCAGCAGCCGCCGTGGGATCTTGGGGATGTTGGGCGCGGTGGAGGCTCTAGAGGTGAGGCTTTGGGGCAGCCACTACCCTGGGGCCAGTACGGTTTCTCTAGAGGACCGGGGGCCTGGGGGTCTAGGTCCCACTACTGTGCCTAGTCTAGGAGCCTCTAATATGTGTCCCCTAGACTCCGACGCGTCTCGTTGCTTCTTTAAAAAATGTACTGCTCTCATCCCACTTCCTGCGCCTGTCCGTGTCGCACAAGCAGACTCCTCAGCCACAGCTTTCGCATGCAGTACCACCACTCTCCCTTGTGAAGGTGTCCTCTCCAGATCCCTCACCAGTCTGCACATTCCCTCGTTGGCCAACAACCTACTGGGTGTCGGTCACTGTGAGAGTACGACCCAGTTATACTTCTTTCTCATTTCAACATTTCTCCTCTATCTCATTCTTCCTTTTCTCCTGATTCATTTGGTCTTTATCTCATCTAATTTGGTTTCCTATTCCTCATTTTTCATTATCCTTTGGTTTACCCTATTATTATAATTATATCACCGACCAGGCTCGGGATGTACTGGTGCGCTATATCTAGCGTAATCCTGCCGTAATCCCTTAAAGTCAATAGCCTCGCATGGCTACACGCAGGGTGATTCTATTTCTAGAAGGGTCTACTCCCCTTTGGATAGGATAAACCTGGTTACCTGGTGTACCCTGGAAGTATAAAAGCGCCTTGTATCAATCCATAGTGGAACTTTTCCTCAATCAATTCAATCCAGTAACACTTGGTATCAAAGTTTTTCTCACTCGGCCGCGCTCAGCTAAGCAGCAACAGCAGTAAAACCTGCCTCGAAAAACGGCCGGGGGCAACTAATTCGGCGCCGACCCTGGTAAGTACCACCTCTGCGTTTATTAAATTAACCCCTCCGTGCGTGTTTTGTACAGAATGGTGAACTTCGACAACACCGAAGTTACCCAGCAGTCCTGCGAGCTAACCGTGAAGCTTGGCAAAACAAATTCGAGCGACTAACGCGACTCGCCGGCGCGCAGCACGAAAGGACAACGGCGACGACGGAGTAGTGGGTCATGGGAGTCTAGAAAAATCGGTTGACGAAGCTGATTCGACGCGAGCAGGAAGAAATGATGGGGAAAAATCTCCACCTCAAGACCAGTCTTCACCTGGGAAAATCGCCGACAAAAATTCTGACTCTGCGAAAAAAGCCTCTGCTGAGACGGGGAAACTCTTTGAAGACCCAAGAAAATATACAGTAAGGATTCATTAAAGTTATCTTATAAAGATGCTTTAATGAAAACTTATGATTCTCAAGGGGCTAGAGCCTTAGAGAAATTTCAGAAGAGACTCCAAAAGAAACAGAGAATTGTAGAGATCGTACCGGTACAGGAGAACTTGGGGAAAAAATTAAGGGGTCTAGAAAGAAGCCGACCTTTCCACAGAGTCAACGTCTTCTCCCGACACCAGCCCACAACGACTACCCGTTCCCCAAGGAAGATGTCGGTGGAGCTAAAGCAGCTCAAATGGAAGCTGGGGGTCTACAAGAAGTCGCAAAAGCCTCGAACTCCTCCTTCGGATGCATCCAGCTCAGCAACTTCGGCATGAACGACACACACAGTCGTCAAGGAAACTCTGGGCCCTGGAGAAGAGCTTTTCTCCAAGCAGCCTCGGACAGCTGCCAGCTCAGGAGTAGATAGCAAAGAAAAGGTGTGT